TCTTGGGCTACTCTTTACCAACGTATAGTAGGATTGATCGTCACATTATAATTTGCTGAAAGATATATTGAACAAATTGTACAAATTTTGTGAAGTGAAATATACACAGTTTGTAAGAATTCGTTTATTGTGCAACGCTGGTAATTTTTATTAGTAAATCTACCAGTTGTTGTTTTTTTTTTGTCAAATTTACACAATTAGATATCTGCGGAGAATCGAACCTCGAATTTTAGTTTTGAATATTCGCTTGCTTACCGTTGAACCACCGGGCGTTAACATGACAATAAAAACATTAATTTATTAATTATTAATAAAGAATAATATTAATATATACATTAATAAAATCAAAAAGAAAGCTTCTATTGTGCTTGTATCAAAATCTTTTAATTTTTTGTTTATATTACATGTAACTGCCGATGATAATAAATTAATGCAGATTTTTTCCTTAATTATAGAACAATATTTATTTAAATGGTCTTTAACGTATTTCAGCCTTTTTACCAACTAGAACTGATAAATCCTTACCTGTATTTTATTTTAGCACCGGCAATAAATCTGTACTTATATGGTATTTTATGTAGTTTGGAAATTAAATGTAATTCAAGTGTAATAATGAAAGACTTTTTAGAATATACATCAAAATATGATAAGTCTGTTTCAACGTGTTTGTAAAACTCGTTACCTGAAGGGTTGCTGCTGGATGAAACCCTAGCTATTTACATAAAGTTGTAATATATATTTTACAAATGAAAACAAACAGATTTATGACACACCTATTAAGGTATCTTATATTTTGAAAAAACGTGCCAACTGGCACAATAATATATACATGCATACAAGGGCGCAGCTACAAAATTATTCTGTGGGAAGATGGGGGGGGGGGCGAAGTCCTAAACATCTGAGATACATGTACTTAAGATCATATATACTTTATATAACTATACGCTCGGATTATTTGAACTTACAATTTATAAGAAATATTATTATATTTTGTTTAAAATGTTTTTGGGTCTTATTCCCTCCCCCAGTTCTAACTACGTCCATAATATAGATATTCTACAAGGAAGCAGCTGTATTAAATATATAAATTATCGTGTGTTTTTCTGCCTTGGCAATGTTACGTTTAAAAAACAGGAAAGACAAACTAAGTTTGTTTTTTATGACATGCACGTTATGATTCCAATTCGACTATAAAAAGGCTTCGATGTTCTTGTATTAGAAACAAATTCTAATTACAACCAAAAACAAAATGAGTCAGTTACTATTTTCATATTAAAAAAAGGAAGTTTAGATCACGTCTAATCGAGTGTTCTCCTTACAACCGCTTGACTGCTTGTAATGCTGCAAGACTGGGATTTTTTATGATGTCACATTAACAACTAGAGTTAACAAGTGTCTGTGCTATTGGCCTGCTGGGGTTCCACCCTTCAAATTCCCCACACACACGCAAACACTGCTACGTCACAGGGTACGAGATGTGTCCTGGAAGAGAAACCACTGGAGTAATAAATCACGTGCCACAATAGTAAACATATATAAGCGTCTTACTTGAGTTAAAGAGAAAGCATTACATAGAAAAGAGTGATGAAAGTTGGTGATATTTTAAAATATTTGATTAAATATATTTGAAAATGCTTTACGAATCTATGTTCAATGATAAAACATTCTCTATCTCCAGTAAGCCTGAAGTTGGAGAGTTACTGGCGGGAGTGTTAGACATTGTATCCCCTGCTTCAAGCCGGGTGTTTGTCCGTGTTTACTGTACCTCAACAGAACATTTCTGTGTAATCTACCCATTGAAAAACTCATCCATAGCCAGAAAACATTTGGGCAGCCTCAATCTCCGTGGCTATTTCGTACAGCAACTAGTACGTGATTATCGAGAACTGAGGCTTGTCCCGCGAGCATGTGATGGCGTTGCAGTAACTTTCCGTGTTCCCGGCTCTGATGACTGCGTGATAGCTTGGCTAACGGCTCTAACCGGTCACCGAGAAGTTTTCGTGCCGAAGAGGCGTATTCTTGGACATCATTCCTTGCTGCCTGTACTGAACGAGAAGGAGGAAGACGAGTATGTGATTTGAGATGGCGCTCGAAACTTCTGGGTCCATCACCACAGATTTCTGCACTGATGATATGGACATCAAAAACACGTCACTCATATAAACTGTATATTCTGGCTTCAGATATCATCCCTGGCGCGGCAGCTTTACCAGTTTTTGACTATAAGCATTGAGTATGACTCAAAGACTATTTATGAGTTACATGTTTTATTTTGTCAGAGATAAGTTTATATTGTGTAAAATGTTTTTGACGCGAATGTAAATGTGTACAGTACTTTGTAAATATTTATGAAGCTAGGCTTAAATTATTTATTTCTAGAAAATTCGGGAAAGGCTTTTAAGTCATTAATTTATATTTTAAAAAATGTCCCAGTTACTTAACACCAAGTTAAACCCGATTCCAAAATCAGGAAGTAAACATGTATAATATATATCATCATACTGTGTAATATGTACGACTTTTAAAATGTTCTGCTGGTCAGAATAATTCTGTTCACTTTGTGTTCTTAGTGAAATAAAACTTTTAAATGTATTCCATGACTGACTTGAGAACTATCTCCTACAATAACTTAGGGAATAATGGGGAATTCTGAACCAAACAGAGCCAGTATAAGAAGTGTCATAGCACGGTTCATTACAACCACAACGATGTTAACTGAAAATGTATTAATAACATTTATACTTCTTTGTAACAGGAACTGAAATAATTTCATGCAAACTCCATAAATACGTTTCTGTATACATGTATACACTGCTTTCATAATTAACAGTCGCATGATCTTATTACTAGCGGTTATATTTCTAAAACGTATTAGTTTGTTACTTCAAAACCAAATTTAGCCGTTTAAACACGAAATAAAACTTTAGCAACACATTTACAAAGTACTGTTGCGCCATCGAGGTCACGTGACTGGTGTGGCGCCCTCTATTTTCTAGAACTATCTTGTTTTTCATGAATGCTCTAGTATTTACTAGATAGGGTAGGCGGGTATATATAAGAGGGGACAACGTGACGCGAGGATAATGTA